CTCATCAGTATGTACCTCTGAAACAAAACCTCTCAGATGCAACTAACTCTCTGATCTTGTGGAACCTTACATCAATATGTTTAGTTCTAGCACGATACACCTGATTCTTAGCCAAGTGAATAGCACTTGATTATCACAAAGCAACTGAACTCCACCTTGTTGAACACCCAACTCCTTCACTAAACCAGTAAGCCATAAAGCTTCTTTTGCAGCTTCAGCCGCTGCCATGTATTCAGCTTCAGTTGTAGATAGTGCCACGACAGATTGAACAGTAGACTTCCAAAATAGGCCCTCCACCAAGAGTAAACACATACCCTGTCGTAGATCTTCTATTATCCAAGTCACCTGCATAATCTGAATCCACATATCCTACAACAAAGGATATCCCGCTGACTCCCAAAAACAATTCCATGTCCCACAGTACCCTTTAAGTACCGAAAGATCCACTTGACTGCATCCCAATGTTGCTTACCAGGTTTAGACATGTACTTACAAACTTGACTAACAGCATGAGCTAAATCAGGACGAGTACATACCATCGCATACATCAAGCAGCCAACAGCATTAGAATACGGAACCTTTGCCATATTTCAGCTTCCTTATCTGTCTTAGGGCACTGTTATGATGAGAGCTTAAGTGATTCGCCAATGGAGTGCTAACTGGTTTCGCGTGCTCATCGCAAACCTTTCTAGCATTTTCTCAACATAACCCCGTTGAGATAGCCGCAGTTTCCTTGAGTCTCTGTCCCTGCAAATTTCCATTCCAAGAATTTTCTTTGCAGCACCTAAATCTTTCATATCAAATCCTGACTCAATAAAGTTTTCAAACCGATAACATCATCCATGTTCTTCGCAGCAATCAACATATCATCAACATACAGTAATAGAAAAAATAAAAGAACCATCATCAAGGCTCTTAACATAGACACAACAATCATACTCACATCGGTTGTAGCCAATCTTGATCATATAGGAGTCAAAGCGTTTATACCACTGTCTCGGAGACTGTTTTAACCCGTACAAAGATTTCTTCAATCTGCAAACTAAATGCTCGTTTCCAGGTTGAGTGAACCTTCAGGTTGCCGCATGTAGATCTGCTCCTCTAAATCACCATGCAAAAAAGCAGTTTTAACATCCATCTGCTCTAAATGCAATCCCAACTAGCCACCAATGCAAGTACTGCTCGGATTGAAGTGTGCCTGACCACAGGAGAAAAGATTTCATCATAATCAACTCCTTTCTGCTGTTGAAAAAACCCTTCGCTACCAAACGAGCCTTGAACTTCTCCCCTCTTTTTTGTTACTGCTGGTTCTTCTTATACACCCATTTGCAACCAATCGGCTTCTTACCCTCAGGAAGGGGAACTAACTCCCATGTGCGATTGTGATTCAAAAGACTCCATCTCCTCAACCATGGCTGCCATCCACTTGTCGTTTTCCGACTAGTAACGGCATCATGAAAGTAACTGGATCATCACTGCTAACAGTAAGTGCAAAAGATACCAAGTCTTCAAAACCAATCTGTTCGGAGGCTTATATTCGTCCGTCTCACCCTGTCTCTGGCGAGACTATAATCCTGCAAATCATCCGTAGTGGAACCACCAGAAGTCGGTTGAGAAGTTTCTGGTTTCTCAACTGGAAACTGCTCGAAATCTACCACTGTCGTGTCTTGCTGCTGCAACATAGACTGTTCATCAAAAACGACATCTCTACTAATCACAACTTTCTTCGCAACTGGATCCCAGAACTTGAATCCTTTGACACCTTTCTTGTAACCCAGAAAAATGCACTCCTTCGATTTTGCATCAAGTTTGGATCTCTCATCAGCAGGTACATGCACATAAGCAGGACAACCAAAAATCCGTAAGTTATCAAAACTAACATCATGACCAGTCCATACCTCTGCAACTTTCCCAGCCAGCGATGCCCTTGGCGATCTGTTGATAAGGTAACACGCCATGTTAACAGCCTCAGCCCAGAAGTTTGGGAAGCCCCGCATTCAACCGCAAACATCTGGCTCTTTCATTCAACGACCTGTTCATTCGTTCCGCAACACCATTCTGTTGTGGTGTCTTGCGCACTGTAAATGCCTCTGAATCCCATGCTCCTTACAGAATTGTAGGAACTGTGAATCTGTGTACTCCGTACCATTATCAGACCGCAAACACTTGATTTTTCGTCCTGTTTGGTTTTCTACCTCAGCTTCCACAGCTTGAACTTCTCAAAAACTTCAGATTTCTGTTTCAAAAAATACACCCAAACTTTCCGTGAAAAATCATCAATAAAAGTAACATAGTACCTAGATCCACCCAAAGACGATGTCGTTGAAGGCCCCCATACATCAGAATGCACATAATCAAGAATCCCTTGAGTTGTGTGCTTCGCAGTCTTGAAACGGACTTTAGTCTGTTTACCAAGAACACAATACTTGCAAAAATCGAGCTTACAGCTTTTGACACCATGCAACAAGTTTCTCTTGTGTAATTCTGCCATACCACGTTCACTAAGATGAGCAAGGCGCATATGCCACAATTTTGTCGTATCATCACAGGACTCAACAGAGTGAACTCCACCTGCAACGGTACTCCCTAACAATCTGTAGATATTCCCTGCAGTCATCTTGCCTTTCATCACAGTCAATGCTCCTTTAACAATCCGAATGGTTTCCCTATCCTCGTCAGCCTTAGGGATAAAACCATTCTTGTGCAAAGTGCCCAAGGAAATCAAATTCTTCTTCAAGTCTGGGATATGTCGAACACCACTCAACGTCCGAACGGAGCCATCGTGCATCTTAATTCTGACATCACCAATACCAACAATATTGCAACATCGATCATCACCCAAATAACCGAACCAGAATTAACCGGCATGTATGTCAAAAACCATTCCCTATTTGGCGTGATGTGATAAGAACATCCAGAATCAAGAATCCAAGCATCCGTCAATTGTGTCGTTGAAATAGAAAGCATATCACCCTCACTGCAATCAGAAGTATCATCCTCGACCACGTTCACAGACTTGGATAAGCCATCACGCTTCTCATCGGTCTGCTTTTTCAACTTCGGACAGTCTCGCTTCATATGTCCCGCCTCCTTGCACTTGTAACAGTGAATCGTCTTCTTATCCCTGGATTTGGATCTGGAATTCCGCTTCCCGGACCCTGCCTTCTCTGGCTTCCGTCCACGATCTCGATTACCCTTGACATATAAGCTATCGGCTTGAGAGCTTTCCCCTGCATTCTGCTTCCGCTGGTTGTGAGCCAACAAGGCTGCAGTAATCTCCTCAACGTTGATAGTCTCTTTTCCATATGTAAGAGTAGTCACCATGTGTTCGTAAGAGGAAGGCAACGAACACAACAGAATCATCGCTCTGTCTTCATCCTCAATTTTCACATCAAGCCGAGCCAGATCAGAAACGATTTGATTGAAGACATTCACGTGTTGCGCCAAATCGTGATCGTCCTGCATCTTCAGCCCATACAGCCGCTGCTTCAGATACAGTTTTGTCGTTAAGGATTTGGACATAAACTGACTTTCCAACTTCCTCCAAATTTCGTCTGGAGACGATAGATGCATGACGTGATACATGACCTCGTCCGCCAAGCATAATCGTATGGTTCCTGCCGCTCGCTGCTGCAATTCTTCCCAATCTTCCTCATCCATCGACGCCGGCTTTGTAGGTCGCAAAGCCTTCAAGATCCCTTGCTGCGCCAATAGATCCTTCACCCTCGTTTGCCATAATCCGAAGTTACCCTGACCATCGAATTTCGCGACTTCGAATTTTGCTCCTGACATCTGATACCAATTGTTGACGAAAACGGGTAAAGAAAACGAAAGAGAACACGAGAATTTTACGAGGTTCGGCAATGTGCTTACGTCCTCGGTGCCTAGGCGGCGCTAGAAGTTTTATTCAATGATATTTTAGGTCTAGGTTACATCTCTATTTATAATAGAAAACCCTGGTACATAATTACAAAATCAACCCTGTACCGTACCGCGGGGGCTGCGCCCCCACACCCCCAACCCACATAATTCGTAACCCCACAACGAGACTTTTTATGAGCCATACATAACAAGAATCTAGTCAAGAAAAGAATGAAAAACAACTGGTTGAAGAGGTTGAGAATTCTCATGAGGAGTATAAAAAACTTGTTGATGAACTTTGTAAAACCTCAAAGGTGAGTAATGAGCAGTGGGATTTTGAATGGAAACTCACCCGAGGAGATGTCCAGGTTAGGAATAACCTCATGGAACACTCCCTCATACGAATAAGTGAAGTGACATTAGAGGTAGTTGATATGGCTAAGGAAGCAAATATATGTTAAGTTGTTGGCTAGATCATGCATTCCCTTTAAATGAAGTGATGAAGTTAGGCGATAAAGCTCACCATTTTATATAATCCCTTGTTCTGTTAGCATTTCAGTATTTCAGTTTTTTAAGTAACACTATTTTTTTTCTTAGGGCACATGTTACTTTATATAATCAATTTTATTTGGACCAACACATTTTCTTTTGCAAACATATTTACATTTTTACATATCATATCATATTTCATTTTCTGACACAATTTATACATTAGCAATATTCATTAATAGTCAAAACTTAAAAATAACTTATTGGAGGTTCGATTACAGTTATATTGAAATCTAGAGAAGATCAAATCAGTCACCCACACAATAGAGACAAATGGAAGATAGAATGAAAAAAATAGAAGTATCCCAATCACAAAAGAAGTTTAGAATATACAGAGTGACGTCCAAGCCATGAGGAATGACATCTCGAGCATGAGGGAAAACATGCAGAAATCTCAACTTGATTTACTTGAAAAAATAAAGGTTGGATTATCCCAAATGATGAGTCAAATTTAGGGCTTTGAAAAAGGCAAAACACAAGTTAAAATTCGTAATAAGGACTCGATACACTTCACAGAATTTAATCCATCTCATAAACAACATTAACCACACCCATAATTGGTGATTTCCAGCAGTGTCCAACAATCCAACATGTCTCAGCTTATGAATTATCATGGGGCAACCAACTCTTACCTGGGCGTAAGCCCTATTAAGCTTTTCGCCCCAGATTTAAATGATCATGCAGAGTTTGAGAGGAGGAATATGGAACAACCTAAACAATCAGGTATGGTGGATGAGAAGGTTAAGTCATTAGAAGAAGGGATTAAAGTAATGGAATATATAATGCCTTTTGTGGAGTTGATGCATGGGAGCTTAGCGTTATGAGAACTAAATAGCTAGAGTTAGTTAAGAGCAGTTAGTGTTGTTAGCAGCTAGTTGAGGAAGTTACAGAGCTTCTAGAATTGTGCCAAGCTTCTATTAGCTATTATAAAACCATGTACATTATCACTGGAATTAATAAGAAAACCATTCAATGTTTTTTGAACATTAAAGCTTAATCTAGCTTTCCAACATGGTATCTTTCGCCAAAGTCCTGGGAATTTTGGTTTCACGCTTCTAAACTTTCTTCCCTAGCTCCTTGCGCATGGTACACCCAGTGGCCATCGCTTCACCAACCTCCAGGCTCTTTAACAACAACGCCATACATGAGTTCGATAGCGACAATGACGATAGTGAGTTCAGCGATGATCACCGCCGCGCACGCTCACTTTCTCGCCGTAGTGATGGTTTCTTCTCAGACGTGTTTGATCCTTTCTCCCCAGCGAGGAACCTGAGCCAAGTCCTGAACATGATGAATCAATTCATGGAGAATCCATTTGTGGCTGTATCGCGTGGCATGGGAGGGGGTCTACACCGAAGCCGGAGCGCTAAGGAAACGAAAGACGCCTTGAACCGTCGAATTGACATGTCTGGGCTCGGGAAAGAGGATGTCAAAGTGTCCTTGGAATAGAACACTCTGGTCATCGAAGGCGAGGCCAAAGAATCTAACGAGGGGGGAATAAAATCCTCAGACGTTTCAACGTCAATGGCCATAAGATGCCTAAGGAAAATGTTTCAATGATGTTGCTGGTGTTTGGTTTGTTTCACATTGTTGTTATAGAATAAGGTTTTTTTTTAGAATTTTTTTGGTGCATGTTCATTCACATCAAAAGTTTTTTTTAAGAATTTTTTAGAATAGGAAAATGTCTAGAACCTTGTAAAAGAGGGTGAAGAAGAAAGAAATGAAGGTGAATAAGAAAAACGAAAGGAAGCATCAGCACTTTCGATTCAAAGTGAACGGAAGGAAGCATCGGCACTTTCGATTCAAGAAGAACGAAAAGAAGCATCGGCACTTTCGATTCAAGAAGAACGAAAGGAAGCATCGGCACTTTCGATTCAAGTGAACGGAAGGAAGCATCGGCACTTTCGATTCAATTATTCATCTTTTCAGTTGTTCAAGGCTAAGATGTGTATGTTACCTTGTTGAAGGAGGAGGAGAAAGTAGAGGGAATATTAGAACTAAATAGCTAGAGTTAGTTAAGAGCAGTTAGTGTTGTTAGCAGTCAGTTGAGGAAGTTACAGAGCTTCTAGAATTGTGCCAAGCTTTTGTTAGCTTTTATAAAACCATGTACACGATCACTGGAATTAATAAGAAAAACATTCAATGTTTGTTGAACATTAAAGCTTAATCTAGCTTTCCAACAAGCCTTGTACCATATTTAGTGATACCACCAAAATTCAAGGTGCCAAATTTTGATAAGTTTGATGGAACAAGTATTCCAGTGGCTCACCTGACCATGTTTTTCCGGAATATGAAAAATCATGTAAATGATGACAAACTCTTGATCCATCGCTTTCAAGATAGTTTGACCGAATCTGCTATAAGGTGGTACAATCAACTTAATAGAGTACAGGTTAACATATGGAGAGACTTGGCCAAAGCTTTCAAGGAATAATACAAGAACATCACAGACATGGTCCCGGATCGTTTCTCAATTAACAATTTAGAGAAGAAGCCTAATGAAAATTTTAGGCAATATGCATAGAGATATAGTTATGTGGATGCACAAGTGCAACCACCCTTTTTAAGAAGGAAATTATTGTCCTTTTCGTTAACTCATTAAAGAAGCTATATTATGATAAGCTGGTATGAAGTGCCACCTTAGACTTTGCAGATCTGATCCTTTCTGGTGAAATGATATAGGTATGTATCAAAGATGGGAAGTTTAAGAATCTAAGAGCATCAAGAAACCAATGCCTTCTAATAAGAAAAGGGAGAATAATGTAACATGGTTGATGGCCATGGCCATGTTATTCCACTATCATTCTTCCCCGCAAGTCATGTATGCTACTAGGTACTTGAAATCCAACATTATGACGTCAGGTCACAAAGTTAACAAAGGAATAAACCAATAACTCCAAGGTTGAACCAAAAGAAACTGCAATTCATGTCTGTTATAGTCCCTTATAAGGATTGTATGAGAAGTTACTAGAACAAAGATTGGTATCTCCAATTTTCCTCACATCTTTCAAGCCTCTATACCCACAATGGTATGATGCATCAGCTCAATGTGAGTATCATGCATCAATTTTTGGAAATTCTATTGAAAATTGCACTACATTCAAGAAGAATGTTCAAAATTTGATTGATAGAAATGTCATATCCTTTAATTCACCAACAAGGCCTAACGTTGCTGATAACCATTACTAGCTCACAATGAGCCAGGGTCAATCTAGTAGAAAATAATGAGAGGAGAAAAGTTAAGATACATGTTTCAGAAGTGAAGACTCCGTTGAGATGGGTTCGGAATAAGATGGTTGAGAGAACATGATTATCGTAAGTTTGAAAATTAACGGTGATGGAGGATCATTCTATAAATTCCATGGAGAAAAGGACTTAGAATGAAAGATTGCAAAGAGTATAGGGATTTGATCCAACGAATGATGGGTATCAAAGATTTAGAATTTTCGAAGATAGATGTGAAGAGAATGATGTGTGCACAATAGAAGAGCAAAAATCAAAAGGATATTCTATTAAATTCCCTTTGTCATTAATTACCAGCCGAAGAAGGAGGCGGCCAAACCAACACTTAAACTCATAATAGAGACTCCGACCCATTCGTGTACAAAGACAGCAAGCACGTGTCGTGGAGGTATGATTGCAACATGATGACTCATAGAAATACTGAAAATGCGTCAGTTGGAGTAATTGGAGAGGGAAACTTTACCCAAAGTGGGAGAGTTACTCCTCTAATACTTCCAATCCAATAGAAGTAAAACATACATGCGTAAAAAGGGAAAGCCCTATGCAAGAACCAACAAAAGATGAAGACATTAAAAAATTAATGAACCCGTAAAAGAAGAAGAGGCGCGAGAATTTCTAAAGTATCAAGCACAGTGAGAACAATATGGTTGAATAATTACACAAACAACCTGCACAAGTCTTAGTGTTAACCCTCTTATTAAACTCGAAACCACACATAAATGCTTATGAGAGTGTTGAACCAGACTTTCGTTATAAATATTATTTGTGGATAAGATGGATAGATTGGTGAACAACCTAAATACGAATAATTTTATCACATTTAATGATGATGAAATCCCTATGGGTTTTCGATGATCTCGTATATAAAAAAAATACAATTACATGCCCCCTAATCATGTACTATACTCTGCAAACAATGCCGGAAGAACTCCCTTATTGAAGTCGATAATTGCACTGGTACAATTCTTTTAACCTGAAATGGGAGTAATAGAGTGAGCTTTGGATAACATAGTAATACAGAACTACCAGATAATACTGAAGAACGTGCATAAACAGATAAACTATGTTTCCTTATTGGTTCAGATATCTACATATTTTTAGGCTAAGCTGAGGTCCCATTGATATTTCAGGTAGTAACAGATAATATTCAGTTCAGATGGAAATATTTCGGATGTCTAGGTTCAGGAGATCATATTAGGTTATCTAGTGTGTTCCCACCAAAACCAGTGAAAATATATAGATCTTTAATGTGAGGGTTAATTACTGGAATTTAATGTTTAGAAGTTAAAAGTGAAGTTAGAATATGTTTTGGATCAAATTACAAGAAGTGAAAGTTAGTGGCTAATTTGAATTATGTTAGAAAGTTTGGGGATGTAATTTCAAGTTTTTAAATGTTAATGTATTAGATTGAGTGAAGTGTTATGATGCTGGAAATTTATGTTTGGATACTGAATTTGAAGTTTGAATGATGATTTGGGACCAAACTGCATGTTGGTTAAGTTAGTGGTTTATTCGAAGATTGGAAATTTTAGGGGTTAAATGACACATTTGTAAATATGATTATTAGATTTAATATTATATTTAATGCTGGAAATTTTGGGTATTAAGTTTGGATCTAATTAAGTGGTGATCGAAGACCATTTTGAATTAATTAGAAAAGTTAGTATGAATTCTAAAAGAATCATAAATGATGACTAAATTGTGAAGTTTGTGAAAGTTACTGAATTAGTGATGAAGATGATAATATAAGGAATTTGAGAATTTGTTTGGAAATGTAGATTGTTATTTAATAGTGAAGTAATTTTATATAAGATTAATTTATGGATTTTATTGTTGGATTTGGATTATGTTAGTATAATACTAAATAGGCTTTGAATATTGTGTTTTGTATATGAATTTATCTAGACTACGATAAATTTGTGATCGAATCGAGTTGAAAGCAAAGGATCAAGTACGAGCATAAAAAGTTCTAGTAAGGCATTACCAGGTGAGTACAATTTATTTATTTAATTATTCTGATTGTGGAAGACTTGCGATAAGTCAACTTATGATTAATTTTGATTATGGAATATTTCCATAATGCTTATATAGAGGTTTTATGAATGATTTTAGGGCATGAATGCCCCAAAGTATTGTATTGATGTTGTATTTTAAATTATGGATGATTTTAGGCATGAACTGCCCAAGTTATGAATTTTATAATGATGAGATAAAAATGTTTCTAAATTGGAATGCTTGATTAATAAATGGATATAATTTTATTGTAAAGTCTATTGTATGTTCCATAGAGAGTTGTAGGTAAAATTGGCATGCTATGAGGTGGAGTGATTATTATTCAAGCGTTATTGATACAATACATTTATGTACTTCACGTGTAGCACCTATGGTACGATTGATATAGGCACTTTCGAGTGCGGATTGTTGATGTTAACATGTGGGCACTTATTAGTGCATATTGCACACACTCGAGTGACTCACGTACCTTGCATTCTCTTTAGATATACACTGAGCTATGAAATTGAAATGTGAAAGTATTGAATATGTGATAGAATATAATGATTATTTATCGATTACTGGGATTTGATATTGATTGTCATGATTTCATAAAATCATGAGACGTTTATTCTTTACAGGTTTACTGATGAAAGAAAATAGCATATTTAAGTCGGTTTGGAAATTCATGTGTTTAATTGAATATACTTTTATTATTTTGAATTATTAGTTATTTTATATTTTGTTCACCTCAATTATTTTATAATGTCTCAATAAGTTATACTTAGCGTGTTATGATTTTCACACATAGGTACTGATAATATAAGGACGTGAAGTGAGAAGCATTAAAGGCGTCTCTTTTTGGAAAATAGTACCAACCTACAATATCAGTAAGACACCCTAAATTTTTAATTTGGTTTATTAGTGGCATGTATATTATATCTGTTCAATTGTATGATAGATTAGTTTAAAATGGTCCATAATAATAAATTAGAACTGCTTTAATATGGCTGGTAGTAGATATAAGTAGTAGTATAAAAGAATAGTATTTTATAATATTATGCTTTAAAAGTTGATTTGATTGATTTTTAAATTAGACAATTTTATTTGTAATATGAAACAAAAACAACATTGCACTGCCTAGTTATTTCTTAAAATAGAATACTAAATATGATGATAAAAAGTAATGTTATGATTTTACGTGATTAATTAAA